TTTTTACAATTCTCAATAGCCACCTTTGCCACTCTTTCAGTAATTCTCACTGGCTTTTGCCAGGCAGTGCCTCAAGCACAACAGCTTTTCAGCACTGTGCTTGTTCATCCGATTCTTTAGCTGGACTGAGACAAGCATGGGTGGGATGTCTCTCCTAAACATCTGTTGAGTCAGGCGCTTCATAATAATTAGGAACCAGGTTCCTTCTGCCTCTAAGCAGCCACATGCACGAATATCAGTGCTCCAATTCCCTAAGAAAAGGATCTGCTGACACAAGCCATGCAATTGCAGACATACAGGACACCTCACGTGGCTTGCTACAACACAAGGAGCTGAGAAGCAAGCCCTTATAGATGAGAACTGCAAAACAAGAAATATAAAAAGGAGTTACTCAATTACCTTTCCGTATACAGGGCATTTACCTTTTTAATTAGACACGTCTTGTGCACTGTACATAGTCTCCTAAGATTGTGCTTTTGGGAGTTTTTGCCTAAGCTTTGCTTTTCAAAACAAATGCTTCACTGCTTTTCTTTTGCAAATAAAGTGATACCATTAGTTCAGTGCTACTGAAGAGCTGGGCAGTAACGAAGTGCAGCAGCAACGCAGGAAGAAGAGAGGGAAGAGAAAGCAAATATTTGTTACAAGCAGAAAAGGGAAAAATCATTTTCTAGACAGGGAAGAAGTAGCTTGGAAGAAAATTTTAAAATGTATTGTGAGGAAAAGCTTTTGTGACAGGAAAAAAAATAATGATCTGACTACCCAGTTTTTAGGAAAAAATAAACAGTAAAACTGCTTTCATATATGAATAACACTTACACACTCCCACAGTAAGGGAATGTGATTGAGGTTGCCAAGATAAAGACAGAAAAATCAGGAAGTTCCAGAATTAAGGATGCCTGAGAAGGCTTCATTTGGCCTGTCTGTGTATGCATGATGAGACACGGTCTTTTAATTACAAAAAAAAACACAAAATAATTTGCCCACAGGACCACCCTTGCTTATTGCAAAGGATGGATGGATGCATCCCACTTCATGAAAACCTATTCCGTGTTTTGTTTTCCCCTTAGCAAGTGATCGTATCCTTCATTTACTGCTTACTGCCCAAGCCCTGCTCTGAAAACTAATGCACTAATGTTTTCAATGGGCTTTTCTGGTTTGCTCATCATTGCAGCCTTGACTTTTTTCATAACTATCAAAGCGTCTCTGTTTACAATAGCATTAGGAGGGAAAGGCTGACTTGGCTCCATTTTAGACACGAGAAATTCATGTCAAAATGTAATTGATAATTGTACGTGTCCACCTGAGGATGCCTGGCTTTTCAGGATAAAAGAACATCAGGTTGCACATCACATCTTTCAAAGCACAGAGGTCAACACCTAGGTGCTTTAACCATCAGATCCATCCATCAGAACAACTGTCCTTAAAATTTATATTTTGTTCCTTAGTTGCCTACAGCAGAATTTGTCTCATTTGTGTTCTATCTGCCGTCGTTCAGTCGCGCAGTTCTAGAGATGATGGAGGGTATAGGCACGTCTCAGAGTGAGACGGCAGGCATTTTGTGACTTCCATCAGGACAGTGGCTTTGTCTGGATATTTATCTAAAAGAACAGACGTGAGGCAAGGTGAAGCCAATGCCTGCTGTCTGGTCACACACACCCTGCTCAAAGGGGTCACCAGCTTTTGCCCCTGCCCTCTACAGCCTGTCCTTTGGCTCACGTCCTGGAAGCCCACTCAAGCACCTCTCCAATATCGTCTGTGTTGTGGAGCTACAGAGTTAATTCTGAAAACAACATCTGAAATTCCTGTCAGTACCTCCAGGCTCAAGCCCACTCTTAGTGTAATTCTGTGCATGAATCTCTCCCCAGGCATTATCCCGCTGACGTCCTGAAGGCATCATTATATTGCTGAAATCAAAGAAGCTGCATGTGGGAGGAAAATATAGACACAAAGTTCATCAGAACTGCATATGTCAGTAAAAGGTAAATAATCGCAGGAGTAAATAACTGCAAGATAAGTCCTTAATTATTTAGGGTTAAACAGCAGCAGCATTACAGATGCAAAGTAATATTTTGCTAACCACTCATCCTGGGAACACTTACATAGAAAGATACTATTCTGTATGACAAAGGTAGGCAAAATGTAGATTGTGATGGTTAGAAACACCTGAAATAAGTAGGAAATAGTATTAAACAGCATGAGCAAAAAATCCCTCTATAGCAAAAAAAAAAAAAAAAAAGAAAAAGAAAAAGCTGTCAAATTATTTTTTTTTTGTAAGCTAATAGTAGTTTCAACTATTTCAAATCTCTCCAAGATGTTTCTGCTAATTTCTCTCCACAATTACATTTCCTTAGTTTTTCACCTTCCCTGTCTCACTGTATGAAAACTCTGCACTAAGCAGAGGAAAAATTGACTAACTGGCAGTACTGAGAGGGTGTAACTGACTAAGTGGTGACACAAACAAAGTGCTTTCAAATTCACAGATCAAACTAGCTGGCAGAAAAAAAGATAAATTCTTAGATTCCTTTCTTGCATACTCTGCCTTACATAAAGGACGAGCAGCTTAAAATTCTTGATTTTTTATTTTATTAATAGCACTCTCAAAATGGAAAGGGACATACAACAAAAAATGAATTAGTCTTGCATTTATGTAATCATGTGCCAGATTCTCAGCTAGTGCAAAATAACGCTACTTGCCTTGCTTGGGAGATGTAATTACAATCTATATTAGCTAAGTATCTGATCTAAAGAGCTTTCCTTTTATACATATAAAAACATATTCAGACTCACCTCAATTCAGACATAAATGTACCAGATTAAAACTGGATTGAAGTCTCATATTTCAAAACAGTTCTCACCCTTTTAATAGTGTTTCTACCTGATATCCTCTATTCTGGTCAGAAATAGCAGATGTACACATTCGATCAAGTTTACTACATTTTGCTCTGGTCTTCAAGATTTACCTGCCAGACCCTGATGTGTGTTTTATTAAAGCAGAAAGTGCTTCCATAGTACACTGATAAGAAATAGTATAAATCCCTAGGGAACATCTACACATCTCCATGAAGCAGGTTGACAGATGTGGGCATAAAACTAACCAATCTACATGTCAGGGATGGGCAGACACCTTAGCGTCCATGCTCACATTGGTCTGGTATTTCAGCTTTGTATAGGTGGCTGTAGGTTTGGGGGTAATATCCGAGGTTTTTAACTCTTCATCTGCGAGTGATATGCTGAGAATTGTCTTGGAGAGTACTGTGGGAGCTGAAATCCTCCTGGGCTTCTGCTCAAAACAGTTCTAACTTAGAGCGATGACTCTCTCTCCATTGAAATAAAACATAAAAATCAACAAGTGAACACAACTACATCAGTTAGGGAAGGAGCTCCAGGGGGACTTGTATGCCAAAGCAGCTTAGATGCCTTCTGAAAATCCCACACCTTAACTGTGTTTCATCCTCATGCAAAAAGCAGAAAGATTAGCCATGCACTTTTCACACAGGAAGAGTGAAAAATTGCTATCAATGGCTGTATCTAGGTAACAAAAAATCTATATTCATAATATGAAAACAATCTTCAACCACAACGTTCGTGTCTTGTAATGTGGGTTATTTTATGTCACGATTCCCTTTTTAATTTAATTGTGAATATTTTTATCGTGTTCTCTTTTTTACTAAATTTCAAGTTGAAACTACAGTTATGGTCAGATGTGTGAAAATTACAACTCACTGTTCCACAGAGACATCTTCCCTTCTGACTTTCAGATCAAATCCTCTCAGCTGACAGCTCTCAGGCAATGCTCTTTCAGCCGAGTCCCATGCTTGCACTCACGTTCATGTTTTCCGTCAGAAGGAGGTTTGCAATAATGCAGCCTCCTGTATACTCTGAAGCCTACCTGGAGAAGAAGTCTACCTGGAGAAATTTACTAGCTTATGCTTTATGATTCTCAGAAATGTAAAGGCAACTCTGGATCCTAAAACCAACCTAATGCTCGTAAAACAGAAAGCTCCACAGAAGTGAGGCTGACCCTTAGAAGAAATGTGTATAAAGACTCAGGAAGCTCCACAATGACATTTTCACATGCAGAGTTTCTGCCTGCAGCTGCAGTTCAACCACCGTGTTTCAGTAGTCACACATTTGCTAACACCTTTAAAAAAAAAGTTCATCTATAATCCTGTCACTTCTAACCAGTCCAATTATCTCTGCTCATTCAACAATGAAAAACATAGTCCCCTATTAATGGTCTGGACATAAAAAGTTGAACATCCTAGGAAAAAAAAACACAGCAAGCTAAGATCTTACTCAAGTCCTACACAAATGAGTAAGCAGACAGAATGCAGCCCACCTTGGGGTAGCATACAGAGACCAGAAACACCCCAGATCCTGACCATCAGGGCTATCAACGTGTCTACTAACATGCAATTATGTGACAGGTATTTTTTTAGATCCCATCAAAAAACTATACCAAGGAGACCCATGGCAAGGAAAACCCAGTCTCTCTTCCCCACCTTCTGCTCTCGGGTAAGTGCTGTGCCTGCCATGAATTAGGACTTCACAGCGAGAAATAACCGAACCAAAAATGCAATTAGGAGGATTTTGAAAGATGAACAAGTATGAACTCTACCAGCATATGGCATTTATTAGATGAAGAAACGGGTACAAACTGCAGAGCAGGCTTCCAAAAGCACAAATTCATTCTCAGAGATCTCTGGAATTTCACAGCCACTTTGGGGCCCAGTGTCAGAGCAATCTGCCAGCCAAGTCTGGATACACCCAAGGAGACGTTCAAAGGGAAATGCGATAGCATCAGCAGAGCTCAGTTACACAAAAGGCGAGGTGTGGCCGAACCACAACTTCACTGATTCACATCGAGGCTTTTCCAAAGTTCAGAGCTACGCTCTGTGAAGAGGCAGGTACAGAGCCACCAGGAACACACAGTTATTTTCACAACCTTCAACAGTGACAAGAAAGGAAACGACAGGATAGAAATGACACGGTGGGCTCACCAGAGTGCGTCCTGAGGTGTCCTGTGAGGGCGTCCCTCCGTCGGCAGGCATAGCTGCAGAAGGGACATTTGAACGGTTTCTCCCCAGAGTGCAACTTGATGTGCCTCAGCAGGTTCCCCTTCTGGGTAAAAGAAGCTCCACATTGGTTACAGTGGAAGGGGCGTTCACCTGGAAGGGAAAATGGAAGGAAGAAAGCTGTCAAGAAACGCCAGAAGGTGCAGGGAGCCCGTCACCCCACCCTGTGTAACAGCACCTCCTCACCCAGGCCCGCTCCCACCACCACCATCTTGCGGGCCTACAACAGGCAAAGCCTCTGGCACTGACTCAGGGCTCTCCCCCTTATACTGCAGCACTCGAGGTGATCAGCACAGCCTGATTTTCCTCAAGTTCTCCACCTCAGAGGCTCCATCCCTCGTAAATGATGAGCTCTGCTCAAAATTTAGATCCATGACTGGGGTTTTGTGGTGTTCATCGCTATGGTTTTCCACTTATTTTTAGTATCGGTCTGATCTAGATGAGTATTTAGAACTCATCATGACAATTTGACCTGGACAGATATTAAGGTCTGCGCTTCAAACCAAATCTTTCACTTGTATTACAATTTAATTGACATCCCCTCTTAAAGGCTGCTTTCCCTCACTGGAGTGGCATGAGGAGAATTAATGCAAGTGAGGATCAGGCCCACAAGCTTTGGGAAGTGAAAACTGGTATTTTAAGTAAAACTAATGGAAAAGACTTGCTAGGTGAAAAAAATCATTAGTAGTTTTAAGAGAAACTCTACCCCTTACCTGTTCCCTTCCCCCCAAGCATTCACACACACACACACACAGATTAAGTTGATGTTAATCATTTATAGTTGCCCTTGACAGTGGGGATTGGATCCATGAGCATCCATTTTTTATTTTTATTTCTTAATTTAAAGAGGCAAAAACATACAAGCTGACACTGATTTTGTAAAGTAATATTAAAACCATACTCTACATCAACATTTGCTGAGGACACTCGGGTCTGTCCCAGACCCTTAGGCCCACAGTCATCCGTAATCACCTACTTATACCTCACTGGGTGCAGTGTAAATCAACAGGGCCCAAGTATATGCTCACACTTGCTATGTGCCCAAGTGCTTTACCGAAGCCAGGCTTTCAATGCTGAAATCATTTCACCAACCAGGGCCCCAGTTCAACAAGGTCTTGAACATCACATTTCAGATGTAAGCAGAAATTCATTTTTTCATTCATTTTTTTTCAGTACATCACTTATCATGGAGCCTCGGTCAAATCCTGGTGGGACTTTGAGGTTGAATTCACCGGCCTGAAGCACAGTTCTCATGAAAAATAAACATGCTCTGTGACCCGTCACATCTCTCCAAACTCTTTTTCAATTGCCCTAAAATGGTTACTCCCTTGCTGCACAAAAATAATGTTATGTTTTTATCAAAGTAGTTCACGTGTCTAGTGTAAACTCCGGCATCTGCCTTTTGATTCAAATGGAAACAGGGATGAAGGGAGCTCTTACAGATGTCCTCTAGCAATTCTTTGCAGTGGTTTAAACCACAGCGGTGTGGTCCTGCAAGGAGGGCACCATAGGTAGGTGTGCCACATACATACCAACCCTCTGCAACTTCATTTCATGTGCGTGAGCTGGAAACTACACCTGAAACCACTGCAGATGCACTGCAGAAAATGCTAAGGTTCCTACATTCTTGCCAAGAATATTATGGAGCAATAATAATAATTAAAAAAAAAATCACGGCATAAAGCTTTTCTTCCAGTATACTGAACACGAGCTCATTGGAATTGATAAAGAGTTTGTGGTTTCCCTTTTAAACTCCCACAATACACTTAAAGGATCTGATTAGCTATTATCTTCTGTTATATCATTTAAAATGTCCATAACAGAGATATGTAAAGAGATTGCAGTAGACAAATACATGTGTTTTTTTTCTTTTTCTTTTCTGTTTTGCTTTCACTGTCTGAGAAAACAGGCAAAACCCCTTCCTTTGACACGTTTCTCAGGAATGATAGCTTCAGTTTCAGGATGACAACATTAAAGGCTGCAGCAGGTTTCTTACCAAGTCTAAAGACTTGCCTTTTACTCCTGCTGCATTTAAAGCTATGCAGTGAATGTGTTTTACCCAACCGATCTTTGATATTCTTGGAGGCCACATAAGAGCAGGTATTATTATTCCTCAATAAGCAGGCAGCTGAAGGAGGTGCTGAAAGCCTTCAGTCAGGAATTCAAATAACCACTGCACTACAGCTCAGTGGCCAAGATGACACAAGAACATCCTTCACAAAGCCACCAATAGTCTGTTTCTTTCTTGCCACATACACAGTCTGCTACAATAGCACGTTTTACCTTCAATAACCTTCAATAATCTATTTAAAACCAGCATGAATTCATTTGCCTTATTGGCTTAATTCTGAGTAAATAACTGCTTTGATCTGTTTATTGTACTTTCAGCCAATCACTTCTGTTCTGCTCCTTGATTAAACTGCAGGCTTCTGGGATGACCATTAATTTCATTCATTCATGCTGTCAAGTAGCAGCTTTTACATTTAGTACAGTTAATCTGAGACACAATTACCCAATAGAGAAGTGCCCCCCAAAAGTAAAAACTGAATAATCAGATGTTGCTGCCTTTCCAAGAACTCTGCTGTCTGATGCCCACTTCAGATAAGTAGTAAACCAACCGTCATCACTTTACTGCCTTATGAAGACTGTTCCTTATTTTTCCTGCTGCTTTCTCCTATTACATCTGTAAACAGTTCTCCAGCATTATTAGTATTTCCTAGTAAAAAATAAATTAATTAAAAAAAATCCTGGCATCCTTATTCAGTTCCCTAACACTTCTGTATAGGGTTTGTTTATTTCTAAGCTGAAAATTGATCACATTTTTTAAGTAAACATCCACTTTTATAATAACTTTGATAATAACTCTGCTATATTCCCAGATTCAGTTAATAATAAATAAAGCACATCCTTTGTGAAGGATTATCAAACCAGATTTAGGTAGAGCTGTAAGTGTAGGATCAGACAGCAGCAATCTGGTCTCCCTGAGGTGTTGGTTTGTGCAGCAAGAGATCTTGGTGCAGCAGGGTCGCTCCGATTCCACTGCCCCAAGCCTCCACGGGCACTGCATGATGCGTGGGATAACCTATCTGACACTGGCCTGGGCAGCTCCACCACCCACTTGAAAAACTTGACTCATGAAAAATCTTCACCTAAATACATTTCCTCTCTATTTTGCACCCCCTGACTGTGTTTAAGGTATTTTCCAGTCCTTAGGGATGACTGCAGCACAGACGTACTAGAAAGTACAGACCTATTAAACAGACTGCATGCATGACTACAAGAGGCTATGGACTATTATAAGCACGGTGTATGTTTCACCGTTTATAGCTATCTATGTACTTGCCTTTTGACTCTATAAACTTGTACTGATTTATTAAAATAAGAACTCCTAAGAAGTGCATGTACTGAAATGTAACTAAATGAGCTTTTTGCTTTTTAACACTGGAAACTATGTGACTGCAAAATATTTTTAGTCTACTGTTATGTTACTAAATCTTCTCTCTTTTAAAGCTAAAATGGCTGAACCCCCCCCGAAACCTTAGTGATTAAAAAAGACTGAGTTGTGAGACTGAGAAGAACGGCTAACCAAAGAAAAAAGATGTTTCCTTTCCAGCTCCAGATTTAAGACCTTCAAGTCAGACAAAACCAAGAATGCCTAAAAAGCCCCTTTCTCCCGCACAGAGAATTTAATTATCTAAAGCTACTTCAGGAATGGACAAGGCAAGGTAAGGCAGAGCTGCCAAGTATTACCTTTCCTAAAGGCTTAGGAAGAAAGGCTTGTGCCAAGAAGCAGTGCTGATAATTAAAAAGAAAAACAGAACAAAACCCAAGGGAGTTTATCATTTCGTAGTTAAATAAAGTATTAATTAGCAGGTATGATTTCACATACTTACATCTAAGTTACAGTAAAATACTGATGAAACTTCACAGTGCATTGCTTAACATGCATCCATTACAGCTATTTCTTCTCTGGAAAAAAATTATAATGAAATATCACTGCTCTTTAGATACACTAGTGTCTAAAGTACACAAGTTGGCTTGCTGTGGTGTAAACAAATACTGAGATGAAAAATGATGTGGACAGACAGAGTCAGGGTTATTAGTAAGACGTGGTCCTTTGGCAAGTATCTTTAATATACGGCTCCTGGCTGGAGACGTCAGGGCAATAGCTGCATGTGCTTTCTAGCTGATACAACCTGAAACCAGGCGAATGAACTCATTAACTTCCTATTAATAGCTGCCATATTTTACCATGTATATGTCAAATGTTATTTCAAAAAGCAAACCAAGCCCTTTTTCTGCTTAATTGGAAGCTTCCCTGTACATTGATTCTCCTTTACCGCCTCAGCACGGAAGCGCTGCGTAGAAGTTTCGGTATGAGTTATCCTTCTCTGAATTTCGTACGGCTGCAAAATACACCAGTGACATTTTCTGTATCAAAACAGAAATCGAAGCGAGGACAAAGCGCGTCCAAAACCTTTCTAACACTTCTAAGGCAACTATTACAGGTAGTTGGCAAAATCTGCACAAAAAAAACCCTTGTAACTCTTTTAAGAAAGAGAAAATATTTGAAGTTACCTCCATTTTAAATGAATTGCTTCCTGCATCAGAGGTGTCCTGTTGTGCTTTCTACAGCTTAAAACCTTTAAAAGGTATAATTTGGGAAAGTGAGCCACTTTTTCAAACACACAGACCTCCCAGGGAAGAAGACTTGGATTTTCATAACCCTCACCTGATAACTTCTGTTCCTTCGAAATCAAATGGAGTGACTCACAGATTAATACACATTAGTATACAAATTTTTGTTAGAACATAGGCCTGTTCACTTTCACAGCAGTGCACAAGCTCTTTCCTATGAATGTTTTAATTACAATTTAAAAAAAACACTGTTTTTAAAGACTCATCACAATACGTATGAAAGCCAGGATAAAGTCTTTATAAATAAAAGAACCAGGTCCAATGGGACTATATTTAACATCTGTCCTAGCTAAATATATACCTAAGATCGTGGTCCTTTCTTTTTGGCATGCACTTTTTGATACATAAAATATAACTTAGGTACCTGTAAGACAGGAATTTAATTTTCTTTTAAC